GGGAACATGACATGGCCTGGGGCTTCCTGGTAGTCTGAACCCTGGCAGGCCCTGTAGGCCGTGGTGAGCAGTTTGTAGCCAACCTCTGCCCCTGCTCCTACCCCTGCTCCCCTAGTCCATACCCAGAAGATCCTCCCGAGCTCTATGGGGCAGGATAAGTGTCCTTGGCAGCATCATGCAAGGCTGGTACTCCCATGTCAAGGGGCTGTCCTCGCCCCAGTGAGGCTGCCTGCAGGAGATGCATGAAGTGAAACTCTTCTGTTCTACCAGCATGCTGGAAACTCTTAGCTGGTTTCCTGGATGCTACAAAGATTTTCTCATTTGTGGCTGGTAGAAATTGGTGATTCTGTAGCTGTGCAAGGGCTGAGCTCTGTTGTCACACCTCCAGCTGACATCAGTGAGGTGTTGTCTGAACAGTGGGATGCTGCACAAAGCGCAACTCTGTTTATTTCTCAAAGGGAAAGTATGAACAAGGAGGTTAAGGAAGGCACCATTCTTCTTCTTCTCCTTCTTTTTTGGTGGAACCAGGGATTGAACTCAGGCCCTTGTGCTTGCCAGAGAAGTGCTTATTCCACTGAGCTATCTCCCTGGCCCCCAACTATACTTATTCTAAACCTTATTTATGCACATCACAAAGATTTAGTTAAATTCCAGTTTTCTTTGATGTTTAGTTCATTAACAGCTGGACTAACCCAGTTTCCATAAACTTCTGAGGTAAATAAAAGTTTACTTGGGCTGGGGAGATAGCTCTGCAGTCTAAGCGCCTGCCTGGCAAGCGTAAGGACCCAGGTTTGATCCCATGGTACTGCATGCCATGCTGGCCCCAGAACCCTGGACATGCTGTGTCAGCCACTGAAACTGGTCATGGTCGCACATACCAATAATCCCAGTGCTGGGGAGGCTGAGACAGGAGAATCACTATGAGTCCAAGCTGCATAGCGAGACCCTGTACCAAGCACACAAAGAAATACAATATTAAAAGAAAAAAGTCTGCCCTATTATTTAAATATTTATTAGTTACTGATTACTCATGCAGATTACATTAAACATGGAAGTTCCAAGGCAGAAGAAATTCCAAAAAGAAACTTCACAGACCTATAGAATTAAATGTTTGCGTACATACTTATATGTGAATGTGCTTTTATACCACAACCTTTCTCTAGTCAGTGACTCCCGAAGTGGCGTGCCAGTACACGCGCACAGAAATACAGGGCAGAGATTTTTTAAAGCTCATTCTACACTATCAAGTCTCTAGAAATTTTACATAGGTAATTCTGATTACTGCTTTTTAGCACCACATGGTGTTACAGAAAATTATTTGGAAATGGTCTGCTTTTATTTTTAGCTGGTTAGGCTTCCTCTTAAAGCCATGGGTAGAGCGAGACAGTTCACATGTAGTTCCTCACGAAGGTGAAATATATAAACACCCAATCCAGTGTATTTTTGAGCAGAGTATTCTTTTTAGAGATTTATCCCTTAAAAATATTTGAAAAAGTAGACAGATTGTGCTTTTAAAATTTGCTTAGTTTCTCATCTCACAATCATTAATCTGATACCCAGTCATCAATTTAGCTCAGGGAGGGTCTCCTCTCAGTTTGTGCAAATGTGTTAGGTGCCTATTAAGTTCACTCACTGTCCCGATCCATCAGCCCGTGATGCCACTGACTTCTTTTATTGTGGGCTCCTTGGTCACATGTCCCACTTTTGTTGGTTTATTTCTCACTTATGAGGAACACATCCTCCATAGATTTCTGGAAAAAGAATGCATGTAGTTTTTTTTTTTTTTTTTTTTTTTTGGCGGAATCGGGTATTGAACTCAGGCCCTTGTGCTTGTCAGGCAAGCGCTTATTCTACTGAGCCATCTCCCCGGCCCCACAGGTAGTATTTATTGAGACTTTTGGGGATTCAAAATGATTTTATTCTAGTTTTTTAACTGGTTATTTGTCTTGGTATAGGATTATAGATAGGAGCCAGCCTACATGCTTATACCTGAGGGACAATGAGGATGAAACACAGAGACACAAAATTCAGTTACATTGTAGGGCCAGGAGGCTTTCTGTCTCCCTGCAACAGAGCCCCAAGTAATGGGCACACTATCCTTTTAATTACTCAGACACGGGCACAAGCCATCAAGAGTAAAAGAGGACACATATGCCTCCTACCATCCATGGTACACATCCAGGCAAAGAAAAGGACCTCCAGTGAAGACTCGGGACATAGGAGAACCTGTACTGTAACAACATGTAACTCAGTTGTGCTCCAAATTTTCTGATCAAGAAGATTATGGAGCCACAGAAGAATGTGTTTAATGATGTACAGTGTGCTGGGGAGAGTCACATGGAGAGAAAAAACATTTTCTCAGGCTTTCACAGAGAGAAAATTGGTCAAGCAATGGCCATGACTCATCCACATGGCTGACACTGACAAAAGGATGTACAAAGGGCAGTATAAGGCTACAGGATAAATCCTGAGAGTACTTGGCTGACCTTATCAGATACAAAAGTTACATTTCTTGGTATATAGGTCTTGCTTTATCTTGGTCTTAACCATCCAGCAGAAAAGTATAAAAATGAGGTATATAAAGCCATATTAATATGATGAGCTGTAAAAGGCTCAAGTCAATAATTTCTGAGGATAACTCACTACTATCATTGACTGCTAGAAAGTGTTAGATTGTTTAGTTGAATTCAAACACCTATAGTATTTAGATGCCAATAGAATATTCACCTCTGACAGACAATAAAAAAATGATACAAAGGAATGATCATTTTGTATTTATATATACAAAATATTTAGGATAAATTTACAGCTACTTTCGCTTAATTTAAAGAGAAGAAAGAGGTGTACTAACAGTGTTTGGACAGAGTATCCTGTCTACTTCTTGTACTGTGGATAACCACTAAGAAGATAACAATGTACAATGTATTGATTATCAAAACTATTTTGATAATACATTCACACCTATTAATCAGCTGTGAAACTGTCTCATTCATATTTATTTCTCAATTAAAAAAATTAAAGAAAAAAAAAAAAAAGAACAGGACCTCAGCTGGACTCATTCTCCCTGCAGGGTGTCAACACTCATGCCACCTTTCTCCCCAGTGCTCACAGAGGCGGCCAAGTAGGCCTTAATCTTCCTATCTGGTCTTCCACAATTACAAGTACTTCTACAAAGGTTTGAAGTATTGCTTCATGATCCTGTAATTTCCAGAGCTCCTACTGAGAAGTCCTGTCCATTTATCTCTGTATTCATCACATGAAATATACTTTCCTCTTTCTAAACTTATACAATCTACTTTTTGTAGGGTTGAGTGAGAGGATGAAGATACAGAGAGAAAGAGCTCCCCAAATCTGTGTTCCCTTGAGCATTTTATGCTTCTTAATCTCAAGGACTCAGTAAGCACACACAATTAACATTGATAACCACACACAATTAGCATCGATGTACCATGGCATTCATGGGCTATGCAGCCCCAGATGGACTGCTGTAGAAGCAAAACCAGCTTCCGTGTGGTTTCAAAGATGGAATCTAAGCATAAGTAAATCAGACTTGAATATGTTCAAAAGGTAGTCACGTGGCTCGTCACTGCTTTTCAGAACACTCTTATTTTCAAATTCTAGTTTCACATACTGCCAAGAAGCCTGGGTTGTGGGAAATGAAAAACAAAACTAAATATATGCATGGAACAGGATATAAATTTAAAGTAAAGGACATCTACATGGCACTTGCAAATGTACAGTGGGTTTTTCCTTTTTCAAATTGGTGGGGGTTAGGAACTATGCAACAAATACAGGTCATGTATAATCCACATTTCTTTCAAAAATCTAAGGCAAAATTGTCTCCATATAGATGTTCAGTCCCTATGTTTCTTCTGAGGATGTCAAACTATACACACATACTGCTAAAGGGAAGTCGCACACACACAATGAAAAATTCTATCCTGAAAACATGTACAGTACAGCAAACAACGGTAGTGGTGGTGGATGAGGTTCTAAGGCGCACAAGGAAGCCTTTTAGGCGCTGGACATACTCTGTCTGTTGATACAGGTGGTGGGTAAGTTGAACGGAAGTGTTTTACTACGCTATGTTATACAAACGGAGATCAATTTTTAAATTTCTTAAAGAGGAAAACTTTTAGTGGCCCTGAGAACATTACTAAACACAGCATGTTCTTTCCCTTGTCAAGATGACAAATCTCTCATTAAGAATCGAATATTCAGGGCCGGGGAGATGGCTCAGTAGAATAAGCGCTTCCCTGGCAAGCGCAAAGGCCTGAGTTCAATCCCTGGTTGCACCAAAAAAAAAAAAAAAGGAATATTTAATGACGCTTCTCAAGACTTTCTTCCCAAAGTGCACCCCACTTCCCGCCTTCCCAAAGACGCCCCAACATTCAGATTACAGCCGGCTCAACAGTGAAAGACAAGGGGGTCACGACACATAGGTTCGAGGCCCTTCCTCTCTCAAGCCCAGGCAAGCTCGCAAAAGGAAACGGAAGGGAGCCCTATGGAAACACTAACCTTTTAAGGGTGCTTAATTACATCTGAACTGCCTCACCTCATAGACATGGACATCCTGGTATTTGCACTGTAATTTTACCTTGACAACTTTGAACAGGTTATAACGACGGAAAAATCGGTTTATCAAAGTTTCCACTAACTCTCTTTTTTTCTTTATCTTTCTCGTATCTGGTATTGCACTGAGTTACACATACAGCCCTTCTAAATATCTGTATTTTGAGACTGGGTCTTCTAGTTGCGCAGAGTGGGCTCGAACTCGCAAACCAATGTAGATCTGGCCGAAGCATCCAACTCGAGGATGGTCTTGAGACTTCCGTCCTTCGCCCTTCCCGAGGGCCGGGAGTATATGGAGGCGCGGGGGACATCGCTAGGTCCCAGACGCCGCAGCTCCCCGGGTCTGCCAATCCGGGATCCACAGCCCCAGCCGCTCAGTCTCCGCAGCCCCGCGCGTTCTCGCGGTCGAGCGCGCGCACGTCACGCGCCGCGGCCAATCGCCGCGGCCATATCCCCCGCGCCCCGGGCGCAGGCGCGGCAGTGGGCCGAGGTTGGCGGGATCGCTGAGGCGCGGACGCTACTAGCCGCCATGGTTCTGGAGAGCGTGGCCCGTATCGTGAAGGTACAGCTCCCTGCCTACTTGAAGCGCCTTCCGGTGCCGGAAAGCATCACCGGCTTCGTGCACCTCACAGGTAGCGCTCGCCGTCCTTGCGCGCCCTGGGGGAGGGGCGAGCAGCCCTGTGCGAGGGGCGGGGCGAAGCCGAGCACGCCGCCCCCTGGCTGCCGCGACCCTGCGTGCGCCTGCGCCCGCATGCGCGGTGACGCCGGGAGCGTCCGCGCGGCCGCGTCCCGGAGCTCTAGTTCGGGGCCTCCCGCGGCGTCAGCGTGTGCCGGGGGCAGCCGGAGGAATAGTGGGCGGGTCCCTCTGTCCTCAGCCTGCGTCGTCGGTTGGCAGGAGTGTTTTAGAGCTCGTTAGGGCAGGCTCCGTCCCCGATCGCTGGGTGGCAAGGAGTAGACGGGGCGTGGGCAGGAGGTGCGGGCGCGCGCGACGAGGATGGAGCTAGGAGACAGGTCTACCCTTCCGGGGGACACGCGAGGTCACCCCGAGGCCGCCTGCCCCGGGAGGGAGGCCGGCCAAGCAGATGTGACGTGTGCTTAGGGTCTTCTTTACACAAGGCGGGGACGTTTGCAGACGCGGCGCATCCGTGGGCTGCGTCGGGTGTGAGCCTGCGGCTGGTGAGGAAGCGGGCGCAGGCAGGCGCTGGGGGTTGGGGGTCGGGGATTGGGGCGCGAGCGTGGACTTCCACTGCTGCTGGGCCGGCAGCGCCCCGGGCCTGGAGTTGCAGACCTGGAGTCCATGGTGGACGGGGGAAGGAGTACGAGACTTGTCCAGTCTAGACCAGAGAGAGGTTGTGCGGAACTAGTGAGCGTTACGTGGAGGTGGATTGCAACCCCATGGAGAAAGTTCATGGTTTTGTTTTTTCAAGAGTTGTTTCGTCGCTGTCTGTCTTGTCCCCACGACTCTTTCCAGCACTTTCAGGCCGAGGCAGGAGGATCAGGAGGGCCAAGCACAGGTAGTTTAGGCCTCTTAGCGAGACTGCCTCAGAATTAAGAAAAAGGGCCGGGTGGTGAGTGTGTTTAGATGGGGTTAACTAGGTGGCATTCCATTATTTTTTTATGGCCAAATATACATTATTTTATGAGCAGCGCCCCTTGCTCTGTTAAATGGATTGTGAATTTTAAGATTTTTAGATACTGAGTTTAGTAAAAAACATAATTGAGTAAAAAGCATGATAATCTCTAGGGTGAAACATCTAAACACCAAGCAATATAAAAGGAACAGAAAATGAAAAACCCTTCAAATTCCTGGGTGTTTATAAACATCAGAACCTTGGTCCTGCTTCTGTTCCATCTCTGACTGTATTGGTACTACTGTACTATCACACTGTACAGTAGTAAGCACACAGCAGCACATCTGTGACAATATCTGGCAGACACCTGAGTTACTTACAAGATTTGTTCACGTATATGGTTGAAATGGGAGGTCCATTTGAATGTTGCTAGTCCCAAATGTATTATATAGTTCTAGTTCAGTGTAAATAGCTACATATCAGTTTCCTCCTTTTTTTAAAATTTTTTTTATTTTTTAGTTTCCTTTTTGAATTATCCTTTTTTTTTTTTTTTTTTCCTTTTGACAGAGGGTTTTAGTATGTAGTTCAGGCTGGCCTTTGTAGCTCAGATTGGCCTTGAATTCACAGTGATCCTCCTGCCTCAGCCTCCCCTCACAGATGTTGGGATCACAGGCGTGCACCAGCATGCTTGACTTAAATTGCACTCATGAATGTACAGTATTCATCTAATTGGTACTACCAGGAAAAAAGGGTATTATCATCTTGTGACAATTACTGTCCTTTGGAATTTATCTTTTTTTGTTTGTTTTTGCTCTGAATGCCTTCAGGGCAGGTTTGGCTGGCTTGAGTTGTGGGGATCGAACCACAGCAACCTGAGCCTGACTGCTTTGTTGAAGCAGCCACTTAAAGAGCTGAGCTAAGGGGCAGGCCCCCTTTTTGTTGTTATTGATACAGGCCTTGCTATGCATTTCAGACTTGTAGTGATTCTCCTGTCTCAGCCTCCCCAATGCAGGGATTACAGGCGTGTGCTACCATGCCTGGTTTCTGGGCTGGTACCGCGTGCTGGTGTTTCTGGGGCTGGCAGGGCATGCAATACCAGGGATCCAACCCCAGACCTTGTGCTTGCAAGGCAGGCGCTTAAACCACCACTGAGCTATCTCCCAGCCCTGCAATTTATCTTAATTGTGTAAATTAATTTTTTAACAATCCAAATCAAGGCTGGATTTATAGCAGTTTCAGTTTTTTGTAACTGGAATGAAATTCAAACAGGTGAGAAAGTGATACTGGGTTTAATGGCTAGGAAGCATGTTTTCTTCTTTTTTTTTTTTTTTTTGGTGGAACCGGGGATTGAATTCAGGCCCTTGTGCTTGCCAGGCAAGTGCTTATTCTACTGAGCCATCTCCCAGCCCCCATGTTTTCTCAAAGATAATCTGCTATCAATAAATAACAGCATTTTCTATACATGCATTAGGAGCTGAATATGGTGGCATATACCTTTAATCCCAGCACTCAGTAGGCTGAAGCAGGAGCAGCACATAAGTCCTTGCCTGGCAAGAGCAAAGTCCTAAGTTCAATCCCCCAAAACAAAACCCCCCAAAACAAAACAAAACAAAACAAAACACCAAAATTTTGTTCCCTAAATCAGTAAGTTTTCCAAAAAATAAAATAAACCACAACAAAAAAGTTCTATTACAGTACCCATAATTAGTTTTTATTGCTTATTCAGGAAATAAACATAGTTATAATAACTGCTTATGGAAAGATGAGGCAGTTATTTATTTGTAAAGGGAATCGAACACAGGACCTCATCCTTGCCAGGCAGGTGCTGTGCCACTTGAGCTACATCTTCTGCCCCTAGTAGTCTGTAAATTAGTAACAATTGCAGGCCTTGTTTTGAAGTAATATTGATGAAAACTTAAGTGGCTGCTGCTTCCTCTTAATCTCCCTTTCAAAGTAGATTTTCAACATTTAGCTTTCTTTTATGAACTGCTTGTGGAATTCATTATAGACTTTTGTTGAAACAAAAACCAAGAAAAAAACTAGCAGACCAAAACATTTTCATTTTCTTTTTTGAAAACCAAGCCAAATAATTTATAGTTCACAACATATTCATTGTTTACTACAAACATCTAATACAAATTTAAAAAGTCACAGCTCCATTATTGTTGTGTATATTTCCTTCCCTAGTTAGATCTGGCAGGTTTTCTAAGCAACCTGCTCTCTCATGATGACTCTACATTCTTAGAAAAAACATGGAGATCCTTAAGTATCATACATGATTTAAGTACATACAGTTCTTATCTGTCAGAAAAACCTGTCTGTTTTTTGTTTGTTAAATTTTATAGAGGAAGGCCTTAAAAATAAACAAATGTTTTATATGGGAAGTATACTTTGACTTAAATTTTTTTCCTAATACTGCACCATATAAACTTTCTCCCTTTCCCTCTGTTTCTCTCCCACTTTTTTTTTTTTAATGGTATTGGTGAATCAGACCTAGGGCCTTTGCAATGAACTCTGTCCCCGAACCTTTTTCAATTTTAGTTTTTTTCCCTTTTTGTATTTTTTAGGGGAGGGTCTACAGGGTGTTCAGGGTCTCACTAGTAGATCAGACTCCTAGTGATCCTCCTGTTTACATCCTCCCAAAAGCTGGGATTACAGATGCGTGCCACCACACCCAGTCTCTTAAATTTTAGTTTGAGACAGGGTCTCCCCGAATTACCCAAGCTGGGCTTGAACTTGCAGTCCTCTGCCTCATCTCTCAGAGAGCTAGGATTATAGTACCAAGAGGACTCTTGCCTGGCAAGCACAAGGTCCTGAGTTCAATCCCCAGTACCAGAAACAAAACAAAACAAAACAAAAGTGACTTTTGGGGCTGGGGAGATGGCTTAGTAGAATATGCCCTTGCAGGGCCTGAGTTTAATCCCCAGTTTCCCCTCCAAAAAATGACTCTTGTTTTCTTTGGACTTCATCTCACAGAGTAGCCCGGACTGGCCTTGAACTTGTGATTCTTCTGCTTCAGTCTCCCATGTGCTGGAATTACATGTCTGTCACCACACCTAATCATAATTTTTTTTTTTGTGGTACCAGGGATTGAACTCAGGACCCTGCGCTTGCCTGGCAAGCACTTATTCTACTGAGCTATCTCCCTGAGCCCATAAATGTTTTAAAAATACCTCCAACAACAAATGTCTTTCTATTCAAAACTCAAAAAACAGTTTTCAGATTTATAAGCTTTCTATGAAATTCTGTTCACTTGAATTAGTTTTCATCTTCCATGAACTTTAACATCTTCCATGTATGCTTGGGCCCCCAGGGTTTGCTCTTTCAAGACAAATCAGTGTGGGACTTTGTTTCTTGAGTCAGGGTCTCTGTCTAGTTCAGACTGACCTCGAACGCACAGACACAGCTCCAGGTGTCGTGCTTCAGCCTTGCGAATCAGACCAGGGCCACCAAACCCAGCTAGTGTGAGACTTCAGTATATTCCCAGGGTTGCACACGTACCAGAACAGATAAGTGTAAGCTTGTTAGTGTTATTTATCTGGAAGGGGCTGGTTTTGAACAGAGAGTAAAAATTAATTTAAAATGACACCAAAGGGGC